CAGCTGGATCCAGGCTTCGGGAGACCTGTATTGGGTATACAATCCTGATGTTGGTCATAGCAAGTAATGTAATTTTAGTGAAGTAATGGTTCATAATGAATAAATAGGTGTGACTACAGGACACAGTACGTGCCATTCTTTGAAAGGTGCAAGAAGACTTCAAGGTGCCACTCATGCCAGAGCTTGGGCGTTTCAGGTCCAGGCTATAGATACACCACAACCAATATAATATCATCGGTGCACCTGGTCCTATCTGTCATAACAGCATCCTTTCTGTATGATGTCTGCATTGTTATGTTCTAATTGTTCTCTGTAACATCCTGCCACCATTCCATAAAAAGCTAAACCGTGGCTAGCCGCAAGAACCACTTACAAATCTCCTAGTTTATATCTTGAGAATGTTCATCATGGAACTAGAGGAAATGGCAAGTAATGGCTTTGCAGGAAACGTGAATGTTGATTTTTAAGAGATGTGTGGGCAAAGGCCATGGAAGGTAGGCATAAAGATGCTGCAGCTACAGACAGCACTGGTGGACTATGAGGTGCTACAAAAAGGATACACTAGGAAGTGAGGGCAAGCATGGTGAGGAAGGCAAAGCACAAGGTGGACATCAAGGCCAGGAGTTCTTGAAGAGGTCCAGTGACACCAAGTTGGCTGGGAGTGTTGATCAGCTGAAAGACAGGAATGTTCCGCAGAGGGATCCGGACGAGGCAAAGTGCAAGGTCCTGCATTTGGGCCACAACAACCCCATGCAACACTCCTGGGGAAGAGTGGCTGGAAAGCTGCCCATGGAAAAGGACCTGGGGGTGCTGGTTGACAGAGCTGAACATGAGCAGCTTGTGCCCAGGCAGCCAAGAAGCCACAAGCATCCTGGCCTGTATCAGCATCAGCGTGGCATCAGTGATTGTCCCCCTGTTCTGGGCACTGGTGAGGCTGCACCTTGAATCCTGTGGAGAATGGAGCCAGGAGGTGCCTGGTCACTAATCACAAGGAACAAGGGACAGGACAAGAGGAAATGGCCTCAAGCTGCACCAGGGGGGTTTAGATGGAGTTTATTCCTCCTTGAGAGGGTGGTCAGGTGTTGGATCAGGGTCCTGGAAGTGTTTACACACCATGTAGAAGAGGCCCTCAGTGCCATGGGTTAGTGGTGGCCTTGGCAGTGCTGGAGAACAGTTGGACTTGATCATCTTAAAGGTCTTTTCCAACCTGGCTGATTCTGTGATTCTATGAGATGATGTCAGTTTCATTCAGACCCATCACAAAGGTGGGTCTCACATAGGTTCATGCTGTGCAGCGTGGTTTGCATCACTGCACCACTGCGAGAGACTGTATTAAGTCCCACTGACACAGCAGGACAGTGCAAACATTGCGACACTCAGTCAAGACATCACTCTGCTCTGTGCTATATACAGAGCTGGCTTGCCAAGCCCTGCAAGGTACAGTATGGCTGACCTGGTGGGTTTGCTCACCACGCCACAAGGCCACTAGTTTGAAAATTAACTACTCGCATTCAAAATGAGGTAAGGGCTGGTCTACTCTCTTCTGTGTTTATAAAGGACTGAGAATTTTGTCTCTTTTTTTTTCTCTTGCCCAGCCACATATATCTCAAAATAGTTTTTGTTGAGTTCTCAAAATATTCCTGTAGGAACCTCCCCTGGGAGTTCAGGAAATAAATAGCTTATCCTGGACAGACTATTTATTTCCAAGATGTTTACTCGTGCAATCCATGTGATTGTAAAGTGCCTCCATTTCTCAAGCTCTCTTTCAGTTCCTTAGGGGCACATAATTTAAACCTAGCAACTTTCCCCATATACTGCCAGACTGTTATTCCTAAATATTGAACTGGTAGCTCCAATTCTCTATTCATACTGCAATTATTAATGCAGCAATAGAGGGTGGTTTATGATTAGGTTTGAAATGCTCAGACTCCCTGGAACCACAGGTTCAAATCCCGGCGAGATCAGCCCTTCACCCCTCTGTCTGCGCCAGAGGCTCTCTACAACCTCAGGTCACCCGCATAAAGCCCTGACATTAGGTCTGTCTGATCAGATCAGCTTAGATTTTGAATAAAGGTCCACAGGTCATGCTTAGTCCAAAGGGGCTACCCCAGTATTTGTGCACATGCTTCCTCAGTGAGTAGTGTGATAGCAGCTATGCACTGCCACCCACCACAGAGCTGGCTTACAATTCAGCTTGCCTGGTGCAGTCCAGCTGCTTTTCCTCTGCTGACAAAAGCTACATTCCTCCACCTGAACCATGCCATTTCGGACCAGTGCTGTTCCCATCTAAGAGCTGGTGTTTTGAAACCGATTGCTTCAAAATAAACTGCTTCCGCTTCCACAGTTGTGAGCTGCAAACACCATGGAAGTCAGACTGCAGTAAAAGAACCTTCAGTTTATTCTCACTCCTCTTCAACAGAAGAGTTTTTTTCAGGGCAGATTTAGTATTTGTTTTCTCATTTATTTTTGGGGGCAGGAGAAGCAGTGAGAAAATAAAATCAGGACAGCAACAGATATACTCCATCACCACCCATCCATCCATCAACATACATCTCTCTTCCAACAGATCCTCAACCTGCCTTTAGCAGCCATGTGAGGCCAATTAACCACTTGATGTATTTTAGTCATTGACAATGGGCAGCAAGCAGCAGAGATTAAACAGCAATAAACATAGCACATAAATAAGTGGACCAGCCCATTTTTTCCTATGATAACTTCATCATGTGTTTCTATTTAGCGATTTATTCAGTTAGCAGCTGAAAATCCTGAAAAGATGCTAAATGTGCGACTTAGAAGTCTCTGCAGAAAAGGACGATGGGAGGCTCACAGGGCTATAAGAGGTGAAGTAGCAGCTTAAACCAAATCACCTGGGGTGTGGAGGAAGGTATCAGAGCCTGGTAGATCTGGTAAGCTTGTTTTCTTTTGTAACTTTATGAAGTTACTGCAAGATGCATTCTCCACATAGATTCTGGTATTGTTCAGCAATTGATCTTTCTCTGATGTTTTTTAGACCTCTTCCCTCCTTTATCTAAAATGGCTTTCTAAAAACAACAGATTAGAGCGAGTTTATTGCTTGTATAGAAATGCATCTCTAAAGCACAGAGAAATGTGAAAGGAAAAAAAAAGCCAGCTTCTTCTGTTATCCTCAGAAGTCTTGGCTGAAAGCATTCTTTAAGAACTAGCTTTAAATAGAAAAATAGCTTTTAATTGACCATCTAAACTTTAATGAGTAAGGGGATGGCATCAGAACGTATAGCTGAGAATGGGCTTGGAGGGGGGTAGTTACAAACTCCTTCTTATTCGCTTTCTGAGTTCAGTTGTGCAGGCTGTCTGCCAGTAAGTTTCTATGATAAAGACTAAAGGAAGTCGATCTGGCTGAACAGGAAAGGAAAAAGCAGCTTGTGTAAGCCGCTTATAATGTGTCACACAAGCTAGCACTGCTAAAGAGTGAGGGGAGAAATGTGTATCCAAGTACAAGTGATAATGGTGGTTCCCCTTCACCCCCAGGAGAAGAAAACCACAAAGCACCTGACTTTTCCTGTACAGAAGAGTTAGTGCTCTGCCTCTTGCCTCCTGTTCCTTAGAAACAAAAAGTGGCTGTGAGACTGCTAAACTCAGGCTCTACACAGGTGCAAAGCATTGACATTGATTAGAGGAATAGAGAACTGATGCTTTTTGCTTCAGCAGACATATTCTTCTGTACCTCCTTCATTGTTGTCTTGTTGTCCCATTCCCCATCCCAAGGGCTTTGATCTATGGGGCTTAGAATATGGGTGCTTAAAACACACTGCCTTTTTGATGAGCTACATGTGGTCAACCTGCATGAAATACCTGAACTGCTGCATGAAAACAGAATTCAACAGTTACTAGAAGTACTTAACTCCTTGTCTAATCAAGATATTTATCTTAAGTGCACCTTAAACTAAATACATTTCTCTTGGGCTTCTCCATATCTATGAAGTCAAGTTCCTTGTTGCTGGGTGTTGGTAAATGGGTAGTGGGAAATGCTATGAACAAACCCAACCTGTAAATTCATTGAAAACAGACCTGCCTAGAACACAGTTGCTTTAGGACTGAAGCTGAGGATCAGCATGACTAAGCCAAATGACAAGTAAGAAGGAATGAGAGGCTTGTGAGCTCCCCCTTAACAAACTAAGGGAAATAAAATGGCAGTTGAGTTGAGGTGCTTGCTTGCATCCAGAACTTCTCCGCATGTCTCTCTAGAGCACCTAACGTATTGCTATGCTATGGTAACCCCTCTGGCATCTAACAGTTTTCAGCTGCCTGCCCTGTGTTAACAGTTGCAACCCCAAAGTATGTTTTTTTGTATACCCAGAAGGAGAAAACACTGTCTTAATGGCAGCCTTCTAATATCTGAAGGGGGCCTACAGGGATGCTGGAGAGGGACTCTTCATCAGGGACTGTAGCGATAGGACAAGGGGTGATGGGTTCAAACTGAAACAGGGGAAGTTCAGGTTAGGTATAAGGAAGCTCTTCCCTGTGAGGGTGCTGAGGCGCTGGCACAGGTTGCCCAGGGAAGTGGTAAATGCCCCATCCCTGGCAGTGTTCAAAGCCAGATTGGACCGAACCTTGAGCAACCTGGTCTAGTTTGAGATGTCCCTGCCCATGGCAAGGGTTTGGAACTGGATGATCTTCAGGTCCTTTCCAACCCAAACCAGTCTGGGATTCTATGTTGCAGTTAAGGTGGTATCTTAAAAAAATCTAGCATATGTGGAGCTCCACATGCAGAGGGCTGGGACAGAAGTGAATGCTGTCAATGTGTCAAGCTGTCTTCCAGTGTTCTGTTTTCAGTATGGCTCCTCCAAGCTCTTGAGCAACGCTGATCTATACAGAGGATAAATCCCATGTAAAGATAATAGGAAAATAGGAACACCTTGGATTTGGTTTTGTGGCAGCTGAAGGCCTCACATGACATCTCTTTCTGTGTGAGCAATGAATTTTCTGATTTTTTTTTTTTTATTTCTTTTTTTCTGAAGGCAATTAACCTGATTTCAAGATGTCGGAGGAAGAAGAGTCTATTCTGAACACTAAAAGATCTCTGAGAAAGAGATGGGTGAAACACAGCACTCCAGTGGATTCAATGCCTTCAGGATCAATGTCATCTCTTACGGAACTGACAAATCGGTCAATTGATGACCAAAATTCCAGCAAGAGAATTTATGAATCTCCAGTGCCAAAATCAAATCTAAGTAGATCATTAGCTCAAGTATCAATGGCATGTGTTGAAGCGTATATCCCTCATACGTCCCCAAAAAGGCTTTCAACAGCGTTTGACTCACAAGAATCAAAGGAAGAGATAAGCCAAAGCTCCCGGGTCGTGTTTTCTAGGAAGAGGCTTTCCACAGTGTTGGCCTCTGGTGAATCGGATGAAGAGCCAAATGACAAGGTCGTGCCAAGCTCGGAAACTCGGGCTTCCACCAAAGCATCTGTAATTCCTGAGAGTGAACCTGCATGGCTTCTTACTGGAATACCAGGGATAAAAGATCTCCCAATAGGAAAAAAAAGAAAGAAGAAAGTTGACAAAGCCCTTGTGGTAATGGGTTTCCCTTTGTTATGGAATAGCTAAGCTCTACAGTTTTTTACTGATGCTGCCTGTATACAAATCCTTCTGGTAATATGGGCATATTCTAGTTACAGAACATCTCCACAACTTACCAGTGAGAACATACATTTGTGAATGGAGTCATAACCTGCTAGACTGTCTGGTATCATTCCTAAATCACAGGCTAGATGGGATGCAGTCTTCCAGACTTGTACTTGCTTCAGCTGGTGAGACTGCATGACTAGTTGTGTACCCTGGTACAAAAGTACATTTTTAATACATTGATACATTTTAATACATTAATCTTCTTTCTGTAAAAGAACCTTAAGGGAAGAGTCGGTGATTTGAATTCTCAAGTTTCTTAATATTGGCAAGTTAAGTGAAACTGGAGAAACAAATGATCTACTTCTTTCCTTGCTTAATCCAAATCATAGTGCTTTATTAAAAAGAATGCCAGTTCTTGCAAATGGGGTCTTGTTTGCAGTCCTTTGATTAGTGAAGTGTTTCCTGGTGAAAGCCTAGATTAATAGACCTTCTGCAGGTCTTTATTTTTCTGTTTCATAGAGCACAAGAACTCAAATTTCCTGGAACTTTCATTATTGGCAAGGGCCCTGTGGAGAGCCCATAGAAAGGACAGGGAGGCAGCAAGGTTAGATACTGAAGGCTGTCACATCAGTGAAGCCATGAGAGTCTATTCTGGCTTGGTTTTTCCCCTGTCCTGTATTGTTCATGGGTGTGTTGGAAACTCAGGAAAACTTGCCTGCTCTGACAGTAAAGGCTTCTTAGCTTAAGACAAAAGGAAAACTTCAGCCGAAATCCAGCTGGGTTCCTAATGCCTTTGTATATGTTTTGTGTGTGCTTGTGTTTCAAAGCCGGTGACATCTGAATGAATTAGGTTGACTAAATATTTTCTTTTCTGTAACAGAGAAAGAAAGAAAGAGAATGGCTGCTCCGTCAACTTAAAAATATCGAGGAGGCAACTGACCATGAACTGACAATTGAAGAAGCTTGATTGAACTGGCATTGGTGCTATCACATCCAGCTGCCGGGAGCAGCTGGTTCCAATAAATCATGCACCTGACTAAAGTACCTGTTAGACTTCTTTCTTTCTTTTCAAAATGTGGTTGGTTGGTTGGGTTTTGCTGGTTGTTTTCTTTCTGCCCCTTGACTCTAGGAGGAGTCAGGTACAAATTAAGCACCTCCACAGGAGAACCAATGTTAACTTATAATGGCTAAAGGCCTGGAACAAAGAAGGGAGGGAGATCTTTGTGTAAGAATCATTCTTCATCCTGCCACAGCTCTTCCTGCCCATGCTGGCCTGTGTCGTGTTCCATTTTTTTAGGGTTGCTGATGTTCCTTAAGTGACAAAGTCCTAGTGGCCCCATAGAGTGTAAACCTGGTTAGCCAAAGGAGAATCTCCTAAAGAGTAATCAAAGCTGATGCAATGGGGACTGGTTTTGCTGCTAGCTGAGGAGATGAGGAAATAGTGAGAGGCACTAAGGAGGGAGGCCACCCTCGAGAGATTACTAATTAATGACAGTTTGTTTTGAAGTTTTGGCTCAATATGAGCTTGCCCCAGCCCAGGACTGTAAATGCACCTCACTGTTGCGTTGGAGATCTTTAATGTTCAGCTGTGTGCTTTGAGGGGGTGTGTGTTTTCTCTGTTGATCTCGAGCTGCTGCGTGGAGGGGATGAAGGTGTCTTGACAGTTGTATTGGCAAAATGGCAGCTTGGCTCACAGCAGCTCTTTCTGAAGCACTGGTATAAGTAAGTGATGCAAAAAGCATGACGGTCAGTTCCTCCTGCTGACTGACACTTAGTTTTTAGGCAGCTTAACAGTTGTAAGTGATCTATGGGGTGTCAGCTAAAGGGATCCAGAACAGTTTTACCATGTGCACACACTTCTCCCTGCACTTGTGTGGCTCTAGCACATGTATTTTCTGGGCTATAGTGGGTTTGCAGCTTGTCCCAGGTACTGTCTAATTATCCCAAAGGAGAGAAGTCCTTGAAAATTAAATATGGAGGTAAGGGAAGCTTTTGCATTTCCTTCCTACACACTGAAGCTTGTAATATCTCGTGTCCAAGGTGGCAGAGAAGCAGAAGCGTGGTCCAAGCCAACACTGAGACAGGCTAACCAATAGCAGCTGTGCTATGCTCAAAGATGTAAGAGTGCAGTTCTGGTTTTACAGCCTGTCTCAGGATTTAAAAGGAATTAGGATGTTTTCGCTAATGATTCCTGAAGTGAAATTCTTTGGCGTTACTCAGAACAGCCTTATCCTCAGAACCCAGCCTTCTGTGGTAGCTGGGCAGTGGGGCCATGTTGCCCCTCAGGTCACCGACCAAGGCATGCTTGCTTCATTTGCTGTTTAGTTAATGTTCTGGTATTTGTTTGTGTGTGTGTGTTACCCAGGCTGCTTGTCTGGCCTCCGCAGGTTCCTCTGGCAACCAGGGAGCTCCTGGCTGATGTAGATCCCAAGCTGCCTTTGAGATTAAATAGGCATAGTTGCAGATGTGCTGCTATTCCCCTTGAGCTTGCAGGCATTTCATCAGCATCTATGATTTGTGCCAGGGGCTAAACTAAGATCAGGCAAGTGCAAGGTTAGCGTAAAACCCTTCTCTACCCCTGGGAGAAGCACAGATTAGTCTGCCCACAAGACCCAATGCTTCATCTGAATGACCCAGTTCCTCTCTTATTTATTTGTATCTTCCCAGTTAGCCAGTTCCACTTGTCCCTTCTTCAGACTTCTCCATACTGGTCTCAGAAAGTCTTGATACTGCTTCTGCTCTTCTCTTTCCCAGCCACTTCTCGAAGACACTCCTGGCTCCTGCCTAAGCCCATCCAGTTCTTTGGTCTTCAAATGTCTCTAAAGTCTTCTCTATTTTGGTGTCTAGTAGCTTCCTTCCTTTTAAGACACAAAAGTCTTCTGTCTTCCATGTCTGCTCTTCACTGCTGGATTCCTTGCCCATCTGATCAGATACCCTCCAATACCCGATGCCAGTCTTCTGTCGAAACTCAGGCTCAGCTCATACCCCTAAGTGCCTTTGTCTACTTAGTTTGAACGCCTCCATGATTCTGGGCCAAGTGGAAAGGTCATTAAAGGCCAACTGGACCAAGTTCCAGGCCTCTGCAGGCCAGGGGTGTAGCTGCTGGGAAAGGTGCCGCTTGAGGCTACACCAAATGCAAGCAGAATCTGGGAATACGGCAGCTAAACATCTAAGGAGTCTTCGGGTTTGTGCCAAGTGCAACACAAAACTCTCTAAGATTCAGAACGCAGTAATGCTGGGAAAGTTTTACAGGGATCTAGGCTGCTGCCCTGCCAAATTCATGGAACTGGTTGGTACCAGCAAAATCCCAACGACTTTTCTTTGTGGAGGAGAACAAATTGCCCAAAGTGGTAACACAGAATTGACTTTGACTTTGTCTTTACAAGTCCTGAAGCTGCATTAGACAGATGTAAGAAACCTAAGGCTTTAAGGATTGTGGAGACCACTTCTATTTCCTCTTTCTGGAACGTTAAAAAGAAATACAAAAGACTCTATAGCATTTCTCTAGCAGTAATTTAGGTCCTCGGGAATTTGCAAGAGTCACAATATTGCTTTCATAGGCTTTCTTGAGAAAATATGAATAGAATTAATGGGTACTTCAGGAGTTCTCTGAAATATCTGGTACTCTACATCAACAGTATTTTTGTTAGTTGTAGTTAGTTGTGGGTTAGAATCCCAAGGGGCTTCAATAAGACCTATGTAGTACCAAGCTACATGCTACCCTTCGTGAATGATGCTCCCCAAGACAGGTTTCTCTCAAATTTTTGAAAGCCAGGATGTTAGCGAATGTGAAACTACATGTGTCAAACTACACATACAAAACTAACACTCCTATTACTGAACTTCGTGTGTAAGTATATCCATAGGGACAAAGTGGAAAACACCGAAACAAAACAAAAGCCTTAATATTTCCTTTATTTACAGCGTTTGCACTTGCATTTGCTTCTCCAGTAGACTCCCAAGTCTACTAGACTTTAATGAGACAGTTTTGTTATAGATACACATATACTTTGAAAAGAATAGGCTTTGAGAGAGGCATTGGTAGTACGCAGTGTCAGTGTTGTTAATGGTCATCCTCTAGTGGCAACAGTGGCAAATAAATTTTTGGTGCAACACTCTTCATGTGCAAAGTTCCTTTATGCATATTTATATTGCAATATCACCATGGTGAAAAAAAAAAAACAGCCCCAAACTAACAACTTAAAGAGAGCTGTAGAGTCCAACACCTCCAAAACCCAGCCTTCTCTCATTAGTAGTGACCTTAAATATGGATTACAGGGGCTGAGGCTAGAAAAGATTAGGGACTACAGATGCCAGATTTTGAGAGGGTAACCCCCCAAGGTATCGTGTTTTGTAAAATAAAAAGCCCTTTTTCTGCTTGGAAGAATGTGGATCAGAGTTGCAACAGGTTCTTGAGCCCTTGCTCCTGTCCTGGCTTTGAAATGCAACCCTGAGCATGTTTACAAGTACTGAGAGTGCTCCTTTACGGCAGTGTTTTTCCTTTAGGAGCTAAGCTATGACCTTGACCCAGGGAACTGTTTTCAGTACACTTGTCTCTGAACGGATATTACACAATCTACCTGCTGATGGTGACTAAGCATGATGTTGGATGGAGAGGAACAAAAACACTACTAAGAACACAGGGAAGAGACAGTGATGTCTTCACCCTGGATTTACGAGCTCGGCCTTGTTCCCACTGAAGCAATGGCAACACTCCTGTTGACAGAGCTGGGAGTGCTCTGCCCAGCTGCAGTGTTTCTGTAGGATGCCAGATTGAAGAGAAAAATGTTTAGCACACATATTTAACATATTTCAGATTTAAATAACAGAACTGGTAATGAAGTTACTTCTTTGCTGACCACAGCTGAAAAATTTTAGGACAGACTAGAAGTGGAAAACTCTTAAATAAAACCAGATTTATTATTTTTGTTCAAAATCACAAGATAGTTACATTCCTGCTACAGACAAATCCCCGAGTAATAAATCACACAGCATGTCACTGACCTGTACTCCAGTGTGTTTTGTTCTGTAAGACAGACAAGTGCAGAAGTCCCCCTCAGCTCCATCTGCTATTGTAGTTCACAATGCCTATTAAGATAGCTTATTCGTCAGCACTTCTGACTTATTAGCAGTAAATGAGCAGATACACTGAAGGTTTGACTGAGCCTGTTAGCACCTAGAAAAGTTGGATAAATTAAAGCTATTGAGTAATGTTTTAGAAACTAGATCTAGGCACTGATCTTAGAACGCCACCTCAGATGTAGCCTCCCACCCAAAAAAGCCAACAAACAATTCACATCCGCTCAGTCCTTGCACTGCTAGGCAAGTACCTAAAGACCCTGTAAAATGAATCTTGGCTTGATAGTGCAGTCAGACCCAAGGGGCATGCAAACCCCATATATATTGGCAGTAGCTCCTGGTTGCCAGCCTCCTGCATCTGCCCATACATATGGTCTCACAGTACTCTACACCAGTCCCACTCCTCCACCCTGAAATGGGATTGTGTGCAGGAGATGCTCAGCAGACACCATCAGGCTGGAGGTGTTTCAGTAGCCTTTGGGTGTTCTGCCTTTAGTTTCAGTAGCCTATAGGATAAAAGTCTTGGAAGTGAGAGACCGCGTTACAAATCCCCTTCTCGTCTGGGACAGGGCCTTGAAGCCAAGCATCCTAGCTCACAAGGCACTAATCACCATCTCCAGACTTACTGTGGAGTCAGGGCTTTTGAGTCTTACTTTACTTAACTATTCATTGAAAAAGAAGATTGAACTTGCATCATAGGTCAGTGACTCACTGTCTTGCTTCTGTGGTATTTAATTTTTGGGGGTTTTGTGAGGTTTTTTCTGCTTTAATTCATTTTTACTGAAAAAATGGAAAGAAGAAGGAGGAAAACATCCTTTATTACACCTAGGCAACAAAAAAGGAAAGCAAGCATATATTTTCTACTTCTTAGTGTTGCTGCCATTTTGATCCTTTTGTTATCCTCCATTTCATCCTTTTGGCCGTTCCTAGCTCTGCTTTCAGCTCTTCATGTCATTGAAGGTTT